AAAGGGTGTACATCAGTAGTTTCTGTCCTTGGCCCTTTGGAGGCAGCAGAGTGGCCTGCAGGGCAAGCAGTTTCCAGTCTCTTCCAGGTGGCCCATGTTCAAGGACAGGCTGGAGCTCTGCAGGGAGAGGCGGCATTCCCACCCAGGAATAATTTATCCACGTGATAACTTCCAAGCCTAGCACAGTGCATGGCATACAGTAGTTATTTAATATTCATAAATATTCATTTAATGAGTGAATTAATTTCCTTAGAACTGTGGCATCTCCTCCTTTTGCTCAGAATGCCCTGTTATGGGTTGAATTTTATTCCCCCCAAATTCCTAGGTTGAAGCCCTGATTCCCATTACCTCAGAATGCGACCTTATATGGAGATAAGGTCTTTACAGAGGAAATCAAGTTAAAATAGGACATTAGTGTGGGCCCTAATCCAATATGACCGGGATCCTTATTAGAAAAAAAATTGTTCATCTCCCATGCACATAGGGAGAATACTATGTGGACATGAAGGCAGAGATGGGGATGATGCTTTTAAAAGCCAAAGATCGCCAAAGATTGCCACAAACTGTCAGATGCTAGGAGAGAGTCATGGATCAGATTCTCCTCACAGCCCCCAGAAGGAACCAATCCTGCCGATACCTTGATCTTGGGCTTCTAGCCTTCAGGACCGTGAGACAGTAAATTTCTGCTGTTTAAGGTGCCCAGTTGGTGGCGCTTTGTAACTGCAGTCCTAGCAGATGAATACACTCACTTCGAGTGGAGACCTCTGTCACATGAGCTCCAAAGTCCCTTGACCCTTCCCAAATTTCTCTTCCCAAGAACATATGCAGTTTCTTTTCCCTTTCTGCTGGATGCTGGATGCTGCCCACTCACAGCTTCTCAGGAAATGTTTTCTCTGGGCCTTCCTTTCTAGGGGGTGGCTTGTAACGTCCTCCTCTTTGGGGTCCCAGCAGATCCTGATGCACATGATGGGAAGGACAGAAACGTGGTGGGCCAGGCATCTCATGGGCTTTCCAATCCTCTGCATGTCTCCTGTTCCTGGGGTTGAACAGGTGACACGTGCATGGACGCCCGGGATGACAGCTGGAATGGGAGCAGCCTGGGATGCCTCCCACAGGGGACAGAGTCATTATCACACCACGCGCTGGCTGAGAAGGAGCAGACGGTGAGTCCTGAGGGGGTCCTAACCTGAAGTTTATGCAAACTGGGAAATTCGATAGGCTGTAAGACATGTACTACATGAAGTTGCCATAAGAGATGGGTCTCCAGGGGTGGGCTTGGTTGCCATGGAGACACTGGGGTAAGGAGGGGTTAAGGAAGAACAGAGCTGTTCATCTAACTAAGCTTGAGCCCACTCCTTTTCCTAAAGTAGAACTTCTTTGAGGTCATCTCATTGATTTTCCTGCCCCCTGGCAGGATGGTGCCCCTTCCAGTCCTCATTTGTTTCCAGGATTGGAAATTCTGCTGCTTCCAGCAGCCAGGCCATCACAGAATCCTTCTCTCTCACCCCTCAACAAGGATCTTTGTAGTAAATGGCTTTTGTTGGCACGTGAGCTTGCCCTGAAGGGGGTACACATTTTGAACATAAGGGCTGGGGGAGGTACATATAAAAGGGCATCGATCTCATAGAATTCTGATTATTAAGAAAAAGATCTATGGTAATGTCAAGCAATTAGCCAAGAAAGCCGAAGTAAAGGAAATGAGTTGAATCTTCTTAAAAAGTTACTTGTAAGAAATTATACATTTGTGGTTACAAAGGCCATGGAAATGAGGTTGTGCCCTTCTCAGTGCATCCCACAGAGAGGCCCATGAGACTGATTCTTCCCATTCCTGGTGATGTTAACTTTGATCACGTGGTTAAGGTAGTGTCTACCAGATTTCTTTGCTGTAAAGCTAGTATTTTTCTGGTTGCAATTAATAAGTGTCTTGTGGGAAGACAGCTTGAGACTATGTAAATATCCTATTTCTCATCATACTTTCATTCACTAATTTTAGCATTCATTGGCCATTCTTGCCTGAAACAATTATTACTGTGATTTTTGCCAAATGGCGATTTTCTATTTCCCTAAGTCCTTCTACAATTATGAGTTGGAATTCTAGTGTAAAGAAGAGCTTCCTCTCTCCCTGTGAATTATTTGTTTATTTATTTATATCAAGAAGGACTCTAGATTCCTATTTGATTCTGTTGCTTGTAGTCCATTAGTTTCATTATGTATTTTCTTGCTCAAATTGTCCCAGATTTGGCCATTGGGGTCAAATCAAGTTCTGTGCCATTTTGACATGCACGCTACAGTTTTTTTTTAGTACTCTTTGCCAAAAATATATAACCTGAATTGAATCATGAAGAAACATCAGACAAATCCAGACTGAGGGACATTCTACCAAATAACTGGCTGGTACTCTTCAACAGTATCAAGAGCATGAAAAACAAATGAAGATTGAGGGTTAAGAGCACTAGGAGATATGACAATGGAATGTCACATGGGATCCTGGATTGGATTCTGGACCAGAAAAAGGACATCAACGGGACAATTGGCAAAATGTGAATAAGGCATGCATGTTAGATGGCATTATTGTACCATTGTTAATTTGCTGATTTTGATAATTGTACTGTGGTTATGTAAGATGTTAATTTTAGAGGATCTGGGCTAAGGGTATATGAAAGTTCTTTGTACTATTTTTGCATCTTTTTATAAGTCTAAAACTATTTCAAAAATGAAAAGCTAAAAAAATTGAAAATGATTTTTACAGGGAGAGAAGGATAGGTTGGGGGTAGGAGATGCAAAATGGAAGAAAGTATTCCTGACTATAGTGAATAAAATATTCCAGGCCTGGATCCTTCTCCCACATGTCCTGTCCAGAATGATGTCCCCCGAGTGGCCTGAGACACCGCACAAATTTGTCTCTCCCCAAAGATGCTGGTTCGTGTCTCCACAGCCTCTACTTGAAAAACACCAACAGGAGACCCCACTGCTTGGGGCCTCTGACTCCTGCTCCTGTGTTCACTGGGGAAATCAATTACAGCCTAATTACCTCAGGGGGTTAATTAGCCTCGTGTAGCTTGGGTGTCCTCTGTGAACAGAGCAGCCTGTCAGTCCCCGGTCAGTGAGCAGGCGCGTCGGAGGCAGAGCTTTCCCAGGGAGAAGCCTGCCTTCGGGCTGGGAAGGCTTTGCCTGCCCCTAGTTGGGGAGGAGACAGGGCTGGGGCAGGAGCCAGGGTTGGTGAGGTGCTGATGGAAGTGTGTCGCTGCCTGACTTAAGCTCCCCTATACCACAGGCACAGAGACATGGAGACCGACAATTGCCACAGCAAGAACTGCAGAACAGAGCAAGTTCTCAGGCCAACAGTTGCTGGAAATCACTAGAATAAGGAAGAAAGCATGGAGCCCTGGGTGGCTCAGGAAGCTAGCCGTTTGAGGGCAGAGGCTCAGGGAACTAGCTGTCTGAGGGCAGAGGTGGGGCACCACCAGCAGCCCTTGCAAGCACCTTCCCAGCAAGATAAAGACACAAGAGAAAGACAGTAGGCACCATCACTGGCCACGTCCAAGAGTCAAACGGCAACAAAGAAGCCCAATCTTTGAGGGGCAGTGTCTACACTCTCATGACACTGGGATGAATGAGGACCCGGATGTCGATGCTCTCCCACAGCACTGCACTTCCCCTGAGATATGCTGCCACGTGGGTGGATGCATCTCTCTGGTCTGTATCAGCTAGGAAGGCTGGATTTAAGGGAAGGGCAAGCTCCACTTCTCGTTTTTCTTTACTTGGGCAAATCGTAGAGACTTTAAAAATGGTTTCATAATTAAATAAACCTGAGCTTAAATACTGGCTCTGCCACTTATCAACTGTGAACTTGGGCAACTCACTCCACTCCTCTGAGCCTCATTTCCTTCATCTGTAAAATGGAGGTGAGAATATTTACTTCCCACGGTAGTGCTGAGGATTAAATGAGACAGTGCCAAGCACACTAAATAAATATCTGCTCCTTCTTCAAATCTGTAGGTTAACAACACTCATTGAATTTTACTGATCTGGAGCTTTGAAATAATCGTAGAAATTTCCAAAATGCTCCAGAAATTTCCCAATACTCTGTGGCATAGGTGAGAGCCAGAGTTGCTTTCTTTGGCCAGTAGGGAAAACGAGGCAGGAAAAGGGACAGTGTATCTGCTCAGGGAAGAGGCAGAGAAGCAGCAGCCCCTTCCTGCTTCCTTAAATGTGTGGACCACAGTGGTACCTGCCCAGCCCTTTATTCCTAGTCACCATAAGGAATGTGCAATTAGTTTCAAAGCACAAGTGACAGCCAGTGAATAGGGAACAGTGAAGAGTGATGAGCACATAATGTAACCAAAGTTAAATACAACTCTTCCTCTCCCAGGCCATTCAAAACCCCAGCAGCTGCGTGTTCATTCACATCATCTATTCATCTTCCTTTGCAATTTGCTATTCAGGAAACATCATTTTCTTTTCGGGATAATTAATTACCTATTTCTTTCCATTAAAATGCACAAACAAATTGGGACGGAGAGCAAACCCTGAGAAACGGCACGGTGGCTAATGTAGCGCCTGCCTTTACTTTCTTCTTCTGTTGTTTTCAACTTTGCAACTCTGAGCTAATTGCAGCTCCTGAAATCACATTTCTGCTGAGAAAAGCTAAACCTGCTTTCGGAAATGTTCACGCACCATGCAGCCAATTTCTCATCCCCACCTGGCTCAGCCGGCCTGGCAGGGAGGCTGGGCTGGCTCCGCCTCGCTTGTTGTATGCTTGTGCACACAGACATGCACGCACATTCTTGCACAGGCATGAGGACACACTTCCATACACTTGTCACTTACACCTGGACACAGGCCATCGAGACACCCACAAGAGGCTTTATCCAGCTGCACCCTAAATTGCACTCTATGCCAAGAATTCTTCCACAAAGGCTCAACTTGCACTCCTCACCCATGGCCCTAGGGTGGGCTCCTGGCTATCCCATCCCGCTCTGGGAACTTGGGGGACTCACCTCAGTGATTTGGGGGTTGGAGCACTTAACATTGTGGCTGGACCAGTCAAGCCAGGGGCTGGAGGGGCTGGTACAGTGCTGGTGGAGGGTACACCTGCGCTCGCCGCTGCACCAGCCACACTCAAACTTCCGGTCGGCCTTTAGGCAGAGGCCGCAGCTCTCCCGCTGGGCTGCACACTTGTAGAGATGGACTGCAAAGAGAGGGGAGCAGGCACAGATGGGGTTGGAGAGGACTTCTCAAAGTTTACCCTCTTCTTGTAGGCGTGACAGAAGCCATCCCCAACCATGGATAGCACCAATGACCATCATTATCATTGCAAGACTAATTGATGGGGAAGTAATAATAAACTGAGCCTCTTAGCAGTCGTTTATAGGCACTACAGAAAATATTCTTTAAGAGTTCTGGCTCTGGATTGAATCAGATCAGGGCTTTAATTGCGGCTTCCCCACTTCCTAGAAATGTGACAAAAAATTTAACCCCCTTGAACCTTGTTTACCTAATCTATAACATGCAGATAATCATTGTTTTTTGTGAGGTTTGAATGAGATGTTGTAGATTAAGTGCTCAGCACAGTGCCTGTAACATATCTGATGTTCTACACATGCTTATTATCTTTTCTTTGAACTCAAACTGCATTCTTATGCTGCTGCCTCTCTGACATAGGGCCCTTATTGCAAGAGGGAAGGACTAATTTTCCCATTCTAGGTAAAAATGAAACTCAAAGAGAGATAGAACAACTCTTGGAGCTTTCTAAGGTTAGTGCCCCAAGCTGGGGTCTGAAACTCCAACTCTCGGGGCTGCTAGACTGTAGGTCCTGAGAAGAGACAGAGACGCATCTCGCCTGGCATACGAGGAACTGGCTGGGTCTGGGAGACCAGTCAGCTTGAGCTTCCAGGAAGGCAATGGGGGAGGCAGTGGGGGAGGCAGAACTGATAAGGAAAGAGGGTTGACATGGTCCTATTCACGGCCCCTGTGGATGGAGAGGACATCCCCAGAGAGGCCCAATCAGCTACTTAACAGGTCACTTTCAGAGTCTGCACACTCTGCCTCTGCTTTGTCTCTTCCCATCTTAGAAGCCCTAGACAGGCCAATCAGCAGAATTGTGTTTTGTGAGCCTGGGGCTTAGTCATTGCACACTGGTGTTTTGAACTCAGAGTCCTAAGTAGAATTCTCCAGAAGCAGAATACTCCAAAAGTCACTTTTCAACTCTCATGGCCAAGTAGACACAAACTTTCAGGACTGGGCGGCATGCCTCTGCTGGAGGTCAGGTACATGCCCCAGGGGAGGGGTAATTTTATTCTGTAGGTCCTCATCCTGTCCCTCTGCTCTGTCAAACATCCCTCAGTCACAGCTGCAAGGACTATATTTAAACATCCTCATGCTTACGCCTTGTTAAGTTTCAGGGCAGGACATAGGAATCTTAAAAAGAACAACTACACCTTGAGAGTGTATTAATATGCACAGATGGTCCACATCTAATATCTCATTTGATCTTCACGATGACTCTGAGAGGAGGGCATCCTTTCCCCCATTTCACAGATAAGCAAATGGGGATGTGGAGAGGAGCAGTAATTAGTCTGAGTTCACCTAGTTGTAAGTGAAAGAGCCAGGATTTGAGCCTCTGTTTGTTGGTTTCTAGAACCCAAGCCCTTGAACACTATGGCCCTCTCTACCCAACACAGTGTGTAGCTCCGGGAACAGTCGGACTCTGGGAGGGAAACAAAGGTGAAGACGCCACTGCCCGTGTACTCAAGGAGCTGCTTAAAAGTTGTGGAGCGACAAGGGAGGGTTCTGATGTAACAGCTTGGATGTGGCCGTTTTTCTCTAAGCTCCAGGTGCAAAGGCAACCTCTGGGAACTAAGCCCAGATCCTCAGCAGGGGAAATGTCTATCTCTCATCACTGAGAAAATCTGGCCTGGGTATGAGGAGAAAGAGAAAAAAAAATCTCCCTGGCTCAGTTCCTTTCTCCCAGCCTAAGTAGCATCGATTTTCATGGCAGCACTTGGGACAGGGAGCTGCAGCCCCATAGATGCTGAAGCACACGAGGCCCTACTGTGGCCTTGGTCTCCCCCTCTGTGCCCATGGGGTGACCCCCAGGCTGAGGGAGAGGCTGGTAGCCACCCGAGCTACTTGAAATGTGATGAGATATGTGGCTTCTGGTGGGGGGATAGGGTTCTAGGGGGAGGAGGCTTCACATCCCATGGTGGTCTGAGCCAATGGGAGGACAGTGATGTGGTTAAGCACATAAGCTCTGAAATTAGAGCATGTTGGTTCAAATCCTGGCTCTTACTATCTGACTCTTGATCTATTTCTTTCTTTCTTTTTTAGCTTTATTGAGGTATAATTGACACATAAAATTGTAAGATATTTAAAGTGCACATCATGATGATTTGATATATGTATAATAATGAGAGAATTCCTTCCATCTAGTTAGTTAACACATCCGTCTCTCTATATACATACATTTGGTGAGAACATTTAAGTTCTACTCACTCAGCAAATTTCAGTTATACAATTCAATGTTGCCAACTCTAGTCACCACGTTTTACGTCCTCAGACCTTTTTCATCTTACAGCTGAAAGTTTGTATGCTTTTACCAACCTCTATTTGCCCTACCCCCTGGCAATCACTTTTCTATTCTCTGTTTCTATGAGTTTGACTTTTTTTTTTTTGCTTGGAAAGATTCACCCTGAGCTAACATCTCTTGCCAATCTTCCTCTTCTTTTTTTTTCTTCCCCAAAGCCCCACTACAAAGTTGTATATTCTAGTTGTAGGTCCTTCTAGTTCTTTTATGTGAGCTGCCACCACAGCATGGCTACTGACCAATGAGTGGTATGGCTCTGCGCCTAAGAACTGAACCTGGGCCACTGAAGTGGAGCACGCCAAACTTTAACCACTAGGCCATAGGGCTGGCTCTTTTTCTTTTTAGATTTCACCTTTTAGCGATACCATGCAGTATTTGTCTTATAAACATGGAATGCTTTGTGAATGTGCGTGTCATCCTTGCACAGGGCCCATGCTAACCTCTGCATTGTTCCAATTTTAGTACATGCTGCCAAGGCAAGCATTCTTGGTCCATTTCTTAACCTCTTTGGGCCTTGGTTTCCTCATCTATAAAATGAGAATACTAGTACATACCTCTAAGGATTGTTGTGAAGACTAAGGAAAATAATCTCCAATAAATCACTCAGTGAGTGCTAGCCACAGTGAGTGCTCAGCGAACGGGAGTAACTTTTGTCATCCTTGAGAGCAGGATAGAATGTTGGTATTTGCTCTATTGAGGGAAGTGCCTACCTGGCCCATTGGGGGAGCTCCACATGAGTTTGTAGAATGATGAATAAAGGTGGCCCTCAGGAGCGCCCCTCCCACATCAGCCCAGCTCCTTCCTGAACTTTCTTGCAATGGTTGTGTGCTTGCAACACGCTGGTCCCTCCCACCCACCTTAGGACCAGGGGAGCAGCTTTGAAAACCTTCTTTGTGCAGTCACCAGGGCCAAGGACAAGGGAACCAGAACCTGATTAGAAACAATATCTCCATTTCCAGGGAAACTGGCAGGACATTCCTGCCTGCTGCTCTCCTAGGTCAGGTTCCACAGACACTTCAAAGTCTCTGGGAGCCAAAGAAAAACCGCGATGAGCCGGCAGCTGCCTGGCGGATGCTCTGGTTGTAATAAAACAGGGTTCCCAACAGGACTCCTTTGATGGCTCCAAACGTTGCTTTAGGATCCTCTGAAGAGCTCCACTGATAGAAGCAGTGTACTATTCATGGCATCGCGGCTGGCTGGCCGGCTCTGATCCCTCCAGGCCCAGTCCTTCCTGGGGTCACAAAAAGATCAAAACTCTACCCAGATGTAGCCACTTACCTTTCAGGTCCTGAGGGTTGTCGATGATGAAATTGCCATTCCACACCACAGCGAAGTCCACGGCCAGGTTGCTGATGTCCATCCCGTCGTACTGGTACTGCGGGGAGAGGGGCAGAGGCACATGGCCCATGAAGTTCTATATCACAGGGGTCAGGGATGCTGCTGGCATCTCAGGACGACAGGACTACAAAGTAGTCAGGACCAGGACTACAAAGTAAAGAAACCAGGGATCCTGGTTCCCCCTGGACTGAGAACGGAGTAGAGGGAGAATCAGAGGAATCCCATGTGCTGTTCAAATTATCCCTTTGGTGCCCTCCCCGCAACGTCCAGTCACTAATGCCAACAGGACACAGACCAAACCCCTTAGCTTGGCATTCAATGCCTTCCATAATCAAATCCAAACTTACATCTCCAACCTTCTCTTCTACTGCTCTGCTACACAAATCTTTGAATCCACCTGTCTCCAAACACACCCGCCCGAGCCCCACTCTGTGCCTCTGCTCGGTTCACATTTCATAAGGGATGCCTTCCTTTCCCTACAGCCCCCATCCTTCAACGCATCTGTATTCTTTCAGTCCAGCTCAGACTCACCTTCCCCAGTTGTCTTCTCCGACATTGGGGCCAGCCCTCCCTCAGCCTCTCTGTCCCCTGGTGTTGCCAATTTCTGTCTTGAGCCCTGCACTTCCTGGGAGCTGCTCTGCATCTTCCCATGTGCAAGTCTAGTCTCTCTAGAAAGTCCATACACTGCTCTGTAAACCCCACAGAGCCTTGAGCAGAGCATGTGCATAACAAACAGTGGTGGAGCTGTTGGTTGGCCCGGCCCTGGGGTGGTCCTTTCTTTCCGAACATGAGCTTTACTTTGGTCAACAGTCCACCAGGGAAAATAAAGTGCCCACAGCTTTCTGGATACAGATCTGATCAGTGCTATCATAAAAGGCCTCAAGCTGTGGCCAGGAGTCGACTCCCTCTCCCATGCGGATCCCATGAGGACTTTTAAGCCCTTCACACACTTCGGAAGCAGCCCCTCTCGGTGGCCCAGCCCCTGTGCCTCTGTGAAGGAGATCTCTGGGAATCCCCTCCATGGGGACTGCCCCAGCCCTGCCCACTTAGCTCTCAGGGCATGTCACTGTCAGCCCTCTTGCCCCCAGCCCTTCCTGCTGCCTTCCTCTCTTTGTTGTGTTCCATTTCTTTCTCATCCCACCTTCCCCTGGCGCTTGGCGGCCTTCCACCGATTACAAATTCTATCAAGCGCCTGTGACCCGGGAATCTGACAGCTCCCTGATAAGAGGCCCAGATTCTCTTTATCTCTCCCAGGCGAATTAGCTTCCCTCAACACCTTTGTCACGTCACCCCCAGCCCCCATCTCCAGCTGACCCCCCGCAGTCAGAGACAGGGAGTCGGCAGATGAAAAGATCTTCTCTGGGCTAGTATTATAATTAAACACCTCGTGCGTGCGTTGTGTCTAGCATTCCGGATTGGTTTAACCCTTGCTGCTCTTGAAAAGCCCTGCTTCCCCCTCCTCCCTTTCCATCTCCCTTCATCCCATTCCACTTCCTGCTGGTCTCTCGTGCAGCTTTCCTCCTGTGCAGCGCCCTCCAGTTTATCTACTCCCTGAATGGGGCAGGGTTTGCAGTGGAGTTGATTCAATTTGGCTGAAGTTCCACCGAAGGCCAAGAGCTGCTCTTAAACTCAGACAGGGCGCAAAGCTCTCAACTTATGCCATTAGGGTCCTCACAGCATTCCACTTCCTCAGATACCATTAACCTGCTCTGCTCTGGCTGAAGGGCCCCGGGTGCTTGCATGTTCCTTGGGGGATGTGAGGTCAGCTCACGGACTTGGAAGGTTCCGGAAGTGTGGGCAGGCTAGGTGAAGGCCTTGGCATGGGTGTGAGAGAAAGCCCTGCTCCAGGCAGGGCCCGAGCCCAAGTCCTCTTACCGAGCTGTTCTGGCACTGGACGCTGGAGCTGTTGAAGCGCAGGGCAGGGACCCGGTGGATGGCCCCCTGGATGTTGAGGACGCACTCATAGCCTCGCTGGCCGGACTGAGGCTGTGGCAGGTTTCGAGCCTTAAGGGTGATTGGCTTTACTTCCCCAACTGGTATCAGGATCTCCTCCGTGGGCACCAGCTGGGGACAGTCCTGAGGGAGCAAGCAGAGAGGCTCCATCTGTCCTTGGCTCACACTGTCCTACTCAGCAGAGCCAGGGCAGAGGACAGGGTCCCGATGCTGGGCCACCCTCTTGTATCCAGGCATTTTGTACCCACGCAAGGACGTACCTCATTTAAGGGGCACGTGGAGTCAGCAGGGGAAACGAAATCTATCTCTTAGCTCCCTGGGCTTTGATATTGTCATCCCCATCCCACAAGTTGTCCTATATCTGGCGTGCATGTTACAATTTAGGAATTAACTTTCAAGCACTGGTGTGGCAAGCAGTGGATTTATCTCCTGAGACACAGGATAAAAGAGGCTCCACACATCCCTGTCCCCAACCTGGAACCCCCACCTGTCGGTTTCATCTGTCCCCCAGCTCCAGCTCATCTTCCCTGGCATTGTTCCCACCCGAGGCGTTCTGTTATCGGAGGCCTCAGCTTCCCAGCTCCGACTGAGCACGCCTTTCCAGGAGGTGGATCAAGCCCTCCCAGCAATGCTCTAAACACTTGCTCTGGCTTTTTATCTCATTTCATTACCAGGCCCTGCGTGAATGCCATGTTGCTTTGGAAAACAAAACCGAAAAAAGAAAGTCTTGGTGGGGAGCGGCTGTGGGAAGGGCCGTCAGAGAGAGAGACGAAGCCAGAGAACGAGACTGATTTTCCTCAGTTCTATTCCTAGATGCTGCTTCTCCCCAGGAGGTCAAATTACCACCTGCCCACAGCTCCAATCCCCTGTCCACTTTCTCCCTCTCCAGGGAAGACAGAGCCCAGGAGCCTTTGGCAGTGAGGACGGGGCAGTCACCTCCGCATGCAGTCATTTCCTGTCTCCAGGGATCAAGTAGGGAAATTCTTAAAGGAGGCGCCTCTCTCCCCATCCACTACCCCTCCGCGTTGGTTCTGAGGGAGCATCTGGGAATGTGTGGGGGTTGACGTTGCTACCCTGCAGAGGGTGCTGCTGGCATTTAGTGCAGGGGGCCAGGATTGCTGAGCTTCCTGCAAGGTGTGGGACAGTCACCAATAATAAATTGTCCCTCTCCTAAAGCCGGAGGTGGTCCCTGGTAAGAAGCCTTGTCGAGCAATGGGCAGCCTTAGATGGGGAAGTGGGAGTGCGCTTGGCCTCTTACAGTGTGCTCCTAGGCAGTTGCTTCTTTTCTCTGGGCCTTGTGCAAGTCCTTCAGGATCTGGCCCCACCTACCTCTTGCCCTGTGGTTCTTGTGCATCATTGTCCAGCCAGAAACACTCACTGATACTCCCTTCCCTCCCACTCCATCTTCTTCCCTGCCCCTGTCTCAGTGCTTCTTTGGCTGATTGCCTCTAAATCAGCCTTCGAACTCAGCTCAGCATCTCCTTCTTTGGAAAGCTGTCCCTGAGCCTTTCCCCACACTGGCCTTCACAAGGGGTGATGGGTATCCTCCCATGATGACATTTGGCCCTCAGAATTGCGATTTCTTGTTGACCTGCCTTCTTCATTGGTCTGTGAGCTTTGAGGACTAGGCTTCATCCCGTTCACCTCTGTATCCCCAGTCTTTATCCCAGTTCCCGACATGTAGTGGACACTTGGTCATTGCTTGTGGGAGTGGAAATGGAAAGTAAGAAAACAAAGCAACAGATGAAAAGATCTCAAATTTTCCCTCTAGCTCCAACTTTCTAAATTCTTTAGAGATGAGGGTAAAGTTCTGCCTTTTGGGCATCAAGAGACTTGAGAAGGAGTTTGATTCCCAAAGCTGACTTTGGAAATGGTCATTGTTTCTGGAGTCACAGGATAACTAAATCGGTATGTCCGTATCTATCAAGGAATCCTGAGGATTTAGGAAGAGGTGGGTCCAGGGGAAATTTCCCACAGAAACCAGTATCTAGGAGGGCCTGGATGAACCTCCTGGGTAACTGGTGCCGTCCCTGGCCTGTAGGCCGACCGCATATGAGGGTACCAAGCAGGCAAGGTTTCCACAAGAGACAGGATCAAGAGGCAACCCCCAAACAGATGGGTCCCTGTTTAGAAGCCAGTCACTCAAGCTGCCAACTCATAACTTGCTCTTTACTGCACTTTCACTTTCATTCCCTGCGGGTACTCTTGACAGAGTCTTTCATATATTTATAGCCAAGAAAAAAATGAACACCACTTTAGGGAAACCCAGGCATGTCATGGAAAAAGAGATGCTACTTTCTGTTAGTGGCTAAAAAATCCCCATTGAGTCTAATAAATTGGAATCTTAATTTAGAATAGAAACAGGGCTGAGGTATAATGAGGGGTGTGCGTGCGTGTGCATGTGTACCTGTAAGAGAGAGAACAGATTTTCAGACTCAGAAATGGTTGATATATTATAAATGACGACCAGTGGCTTTACATCTCTAATGAGCTCAGAGAACAAATTCAGATTTCAGTAGCAGAGTCTAAAGATGTGCTTTTGGAAGTATGATGTTTTAGGTTAGTAAACAAGAGTATAGAATCTCTGTAACTTTGGCAAAAAAAAATACATGTATGTGTGTGTATACACACAAACACACATGAACATCACACTCATATCTTTTTGGCTGGGCTAAGTCTGGTCAGCCTGGAGGTTGGAGAATAATAAGTAGACTTTATAAACGCTCTTACGAGTTTTTTTTTTTTAAAGATCTTATTTTTTCCCTTTTTCTCCCCAAAGACCCCCTGGACATAGTTGTATATTCTTCGTTGTGGGTCCTTCTAGTTGTGGCATGTGGGATGCTGCCTCAGTGTGGTTTGATGAGGGGTGCCATGTCTGCCCCAAGGATTTGAACCAACGAAACACTGGGCCGCCTGCAGCAGAGCGCGTGAACTTAACCACTCAGCCACGGGGCCAGCCCTGAGATTTTTTTTTTTTTTTTTTTGAAAGGATTCTAAAATTTTAGAAAAATTTCCCATGATCTGCTGTTTGGGACTAAATTTAAAGACATGATTTTGGGCTTCCCAAATGCCTAAATAGGCTCCAAGATGGACTCAGTAGAAAAGGATGTCTGAGGGTTGATGTTTTTCTGGCTCTTTCTCTCAGACCAGACAGGGCAGAACTCTTTTCTTTCTATTCTGTAGGGCAAAGGAAAGAAGTGGTCAGTGCCCAAGTACACTCTCTTTCCTTCTTGGGAAATAAGGGAAGATACAGACCCTTTGAGTTGAGAGATGGTTCTGATGAATATGTTAACGAGGGAGGAGCGAGTCTTGAGTGGAAACGGCAGTGGTGAGGGCTGAGGGCAGGTGCAGGAGAGCTGGCAGCCCAGAAAATTGCCAAGTTGTTGGAACTTCAATACCTCTGGGGCTTGAGGAAGGTGATGGGTTTCATCAGATACTATAAGGCCACTTCCAACGTGTTTGCTTCTGTGAGTACACACACACACACACACACACACAGAGGCATACACACGTGCGTACACACACATACAGTTCCTGTCCTGAGAATAAGAGAGCAAAGAATCATGCCATGCTGCTTCTGCAGAATATGAAGACTGTTGTGAATGTTGTTAAAATACCCATTGCTCCTGCTGACCCTCCTGTCTTCTGATCAGCTCTTCAGGTCATCTTACTCCTCCCTCTGTCTCCAGGCCAACTGGCAGCAAGATCCCCTCCTCAGCAGCAATGTGAGATTCAATCAAGATGAACAGATGTCCTATTTGGGACTCTCCCAGGGGAAAGTGGAGGCTGGGGAGGAGGGGATGTGGCTGCAGAGAGGGTAGGACCCTGGCACAGGAGCCCTGTTAGTTTTCAGCCACATCGCCCACTCTGTTTGGCTCTGCTTCGCCAGCTTTCAGCGCTGGGGACCCTTCCGCCCTCTGAAATGACTTCTCCCATGTGGAAATGGCATTATCTTCACCCACTGGACTTCAAAGAGAGGGAGCAGCCAGCATCCTGGGAAGCTAATCGGATTTATTTGGTTCTATCTTACCCTTGGGACAGGGCGTAAAGAAGATATTTATGTATCTACATCTCACTAGGCCTGGTTTAGCCATGGAGGGAGATGAGCCTTTAAAGCTGAAAGCCATACATATTCCCGCGCACACCCGCTTGCTAACACCATGTCACAGCTTGATCCGGCCCAGGGAGGCAGAGATTGTGGGGCCCTATTAGAGGTCTGCTGTGCTCTGAGTAGGGGAAAGGTCTGGCTCATTATCTTACAAGAGCTCAAGAGATGATTCAATTGAAATTCAGTTTCCTCATCTATAAAATGGGACCAATAATACCTGACACGACCTTAGATTGCATGAAAGAGGGATATGAAAGTATGTTGTACGTGGTAATAAACTGGATTAACAACGTTAATATTATTACTGCATATTTGTCATGTGTGCATGTGTATGTGAACCCAGGATTGGAGGAGTTCAACTTATTCAGAGCCAGCTTGGGAACATTAAATCATGACTTCTGTATTTATTTGATGATTACAGGAAAATTGTTTAACTTACTAAACCTCAGTTTATTCATCTGTAATAGAATCCACTTTGTAGAGTAGTTAAGATTAAATGAGATAATATATCTATAAAATGTTACATATATAAGTATTCAATAATGCTCACTACTAATATTTTTATTTTGGAATTGCATTCGCTCAAGCACAGTGGTTCTTTGTTGTCGGGCCTAAACATGGAATTGGTCCATCAGCCTTCTGGAAAGAAGTAGGCAGGTTTACCCCATGTGCCGGTAATCTTTGTATCTGGAAGTAGCACCACTGACTCATCTTCCATGGGCAGTTTCTCCATCTGTAGAGATGGATTTGTGCTGGTCCTTCCACACCCTGAACCCTCAGGACCAACAGCACAGGGCCCGACTGAGGTCAGGCCAGCATGTGTGACTCTGGCCATGAGACACAAAAGCTACCCGGCCCTGATTTTCTGTAGAAAACACCCTGCACTCAGCTTTTTTGGATGCCTGAGTTCTCCGTAGCCTTGGGCAAAAAACCTAAATTTCCAGCATCCTGGTTACTACATATGTCAAATATGAATTATGTGAAACTGCAGGTCTGTTGTGAGAATCAATTGAGATGCCATATGTCAGTGGTTCTCAATCTTTAGCCTAATCTGGGCTGGGGCCCAAGAATTTGCATTTCTAACAAGTTCCCAGGTGATGCAGATACTGCTGGTCCCCCCTCCCCCCTACACTTAGAGAACTCCTGTCAATGTGAGAGAATTGCAAATGGATGATGCATTAATGTTGCTATATATATCAATGGAGCTAATCAGCTATATGTTGTTTCTAGAAAGTAGATAGACATAAAATTTTGATTCAAAGTTAGGGGGCTCTTAACTGGAAGTGTAAGAGAGATATTCTAGGAACCCCAAAGAGGCCCCTAAGGGATTTCCAGTCCCCAGAAGAACCAGATGGCATCAGGTAGGACTCCTAAGAGACTAAGGGGACCCTCACTCAAGGTGGACACAAGCCCATTTGCTGTTCCCCAAATTTGCAGGAATGGGGCTCCCCGAAAGCAGAGCTTTACACAGAAGAGAGCAGGGCCTGGGAGCTGTTTGCCGAGAAGGGATGTGTGAGTGGCCATGGCTGAGAGCTAAAGTAACATTCCCGGAAGCTGGGGAAGTGGCCCTAGCAGCCTCGCTGGGAACCGGCATCCTATTTCCTTTCCTGAGCAAAGTCAGGAGGCGATGGAGTCTGCGCTTCCCTCACTGCCCTCAGGAGGAAGAGCCCATCCCTGGAGCTGTGCCAGGGGCCAGTGCATACTAGCAGGAGAGCAGCAGTGGGCCCATTCCTACTCAGGGGAGATCGGGAGGTCAGGGAGACAAAGGCACCTCTCTCACCCCAAGGAACAGACCTGAAGGAGCGGAAATGAAACTTAAAGGAGATGGGAAGCCTCTGGGTCAACCCCGGGGCTCTTTCAGTGTTAATTTAATCCTGAGTTGTGGGGCGGCAACAGCTCCTCTCAGGCCCAGCTCTCTGGAACGCTTGAATCTCTCACCCGAGGCCGAGAGGGAACTGTGTTCCAGAGACTTCTCAAGGGGGTGAGGGAGGTGGGCATGTTTCCAATTAGCCTTCTGGGGCTCAGCCCTGCCGGCTTCAACACCGGGCTGAGTTTATTTGTCTTGCTCTGTACACACTCCTCCTGCCCTCACTCCAGCTGCGGATTGGGTGGCCTCCAGGCTTGGCTTCGGGTTTCTCTTTGCGCGAGGGGGAGCCCCTAAGAGAAAATGAAGCAGCTGCTCTTTCTTGTCTAGATCTGCATGTCACCCGCTCTCTCTGTGTTCTGTCGCCCGCCTCGATTTATTTTAGTAAGGAACTTAGAAGTTTAGAAGTGACCAACATGAAGGTCAGCTTCTGAGACTGTTAATCGTGATCTTTCACTGCTGCCCAGCCTTTCACTCTGAGCAGCCCTGCCCGTGGCTTCTGCTCTTCCTGGCCCACCTCGCCGCCCTTCACCATCCTTCTGTTGACTCCTGAGCTGGGCTAACCATCCCCTGTTCCAGATCCTCAGCTCTTTGGCCCTCTTCTCTGAGTGAGAAGGTTGGCTTGAAAACAGTTTCATCCTCTTCCAGAATCCCAGGGCTGGGATTAATTTCCAGTATCCGCTAGGACCAGTGCTTCCAGGTCAGCTACATCAAAGCATACCCACTGGCTCAAGGAAAATCCTTTTCTGAAAGGTTTTCAGGGCACTAGATAACTGGTTCCACCATGCTGAGGCACCTGTGGATGGTCTGTCTTAAACGCTACCTGTGGGCACCATCTATGTTTCTTTTGTAAGACAGGTACATTCCATTTTTCTGGCTGAATATAATACATATTGTTTCAGAAACTAAGAAGAGTTCAAGGCCATGGGTATGTGTTTGGGAAGCCTTTCAAAGCCTACTTTCTTATTTTATTTAAATTTTTAATGTTTTTTATCTTTAGCTTTATTTAGGTATAATTGACAAAATAGTAAGATATTCAAAGCGCACGTTGTGATGATTTGATATATGTACATCAAGGCCTACTTTCTTGTGTTATCCATGGAAGCAATCAGCACTTGTATCAAGATTAGAAGACACAAGAGACTCTATTTCTTGAAATCTTAGACAAGTAACAAGATTTAAGGAACCCCTCCTATTAATGGGCCTTTGGGTAAAGTGGTCATTGGTTCACCCATTCTTTCATGCACGCATTCAACAAACATTCACTGAATAAGGCACAGAGGATTTAAAGATAAGATGTAGCACTTGTCTTGAAGGAGATTGTAGTCTACTGCAAGAGGGAGAAGTGCAAAGAAAGGCTATAGTAGTATATGCAAATATTACACTGTTGCTTATTTACATTTGTGGATTTTCTAGAAGATTGAACAATAGGGGAATGTGTGTATATGCATATGTGCATTTGTATGCATACACAAGGTCTCTACAGTCATGGAAACCCAACCAATTGGCTACCCTGGGAGTAAAAAACATTAGACACAAGAAAGAGAAAGTGACAAGCAGGCTTCATTGTCTTAAGGCATGCTCTGAATATGTAAGAAAGGCAACCTCTATGAAAGATCATTGGGTGGAATATTCAACAGAAAGATAAGCAGTTTGATATTCTACTGTGTTGATAACAAAGGAGAGTCAGGCCTTAGGGACGGAGCATTGACTATACAATAAAATGAGACTTTTAGCAAGGCCTGGTTCTTTCCACCAGCTGAATTTCTCTCTCTTTCTATAAGGCCACCCACCCAGCCAAACACCAGAGTCAAAGAATCATTGAATTTTATACTTGGAAGAGAGGTTGGCATGAAAAAGTGGTTGAGAGTGAATGTTCTATTGAACTAGACTATGTCTGCAGCCAAGCAAAGGGCTTAGACTCAAAGAATAAATGCCATTCACTACCCTCCTCTAGACCATGGAGTCTGTTTGGTTGGATATGTTTCCTTTAAGCTTTCAGTTTCAATTCCCAGTTCCCCTCAAGCTTTTGAATACATAGCATCTTAGGAGTCTAGTAGATAGAGAACAATTCTCTGCCTCTGGCGTATTTGCTGCCACTATTTACAGCTTTATAATAACAGGGTTTACAACATGTAGAACCTTTGGGAAGAGGATCTAGACAGCACAGGGCAGGGAGATGGCCAAGCTGACCATCTGAAAGGGGAGGGCCACTCAGATTTACCGGGAACATTGCCATGCCAAGGTGAGCCCTGCTTACCTCTGAGATATTGATCCGGCCTTCCTGGAAGGAGCAGGTGGTGGGGTCGTGAGTGCAGAGGTTGCGGTACTTGCACCAATGGCAGCGGAAGGCGCTGTTGACACAAGACAGGCACCTGCAAGGACAGAGACAGTAAGAGACAAAGAAGAGGGAGCAGAGAAGGAAGGTCAGGGTGCCAGGTAACCACCCAGGCGTCATGATGGAAGTCTGTTATCCTAGTCTCACTCCCTCGAGGGCAGATTGGTGGGGCATCCCTCAGCACTGAGAATTGTAGATTCTCCATCCAAGACGTCCATGGGACCAAAAAATTGAAAAAACAACAGAGTCCAGAGTGGGAATGATGTAACTTATACAGCAGTGGTATGCTAGAGCTGGCCTATGCCAACTTGGGAGAGCTGATCATATTTTCAGGAATTTTGCAAGTGGGTTGACATCATGTTGGTAGCTTGAAATTGGCCATGGAGGGAAAATTTACACCATCGAAACTGGCAAATGCTACATACTAGGTATTTTCCAATTGCTTGTAGTTAAATCAACATACCACCATTTAAATGACAAAATAGCCAAGAGAGCACAGGGATACAAATTGGACAGATCTCATTCCAGTCTTGCCTCTGCCACTGCTACAGGGATCACCCTGAGTACGTCATTTTACCTTCTAAACCAGAATGTCTTCATCTGTCTGAAATAAAACTTTCCTCTCTACTCCACTTTAGCATCAAACGAGATAATGTATAGGAAATGGTTTTGAAAAGCACAATGCTAAATGTGAGTATTATTTTCAAGTGCTTCAATTACCTGTTATTTCAAGCTCTTAAATTATACTTGAGTGTTAATAATTGGTTCATATCACCTGTCTTACTGGGCTTTGGGGGAGGAAACAGCATTAAATGGCAACTTTGTCCCACCATCCAAGTAGCCAGGCATATGTAGCAATAGGCTATGTGTGTGGCTCATGCTTTTCTTGCCAGGACGAGCGTTTCTTTCCCTCTGGTTTCACCTGGAAAACCAGGTGTGTATTATTTCGGCTCTCTGTGTGTGATCAGATCATTATAATGGAAATGGGTTTTGTAGGTGGGGTTGGTCTTCTTGCTGCTTGCCAGCTCCCCTGGTTTAGCCTCTCACAACTAGATCGACCTGAAAGGGTCAGGGCCAGGTCTGCAATTTGGCGCCACCTAGTGGAGACTCTGATTACCTTTGGGCGGATGGGGCTGGATCCAAGGATCACGGGCTAATTATGCCACAGTGTATTGGGTGCATCAGCCCATTGACACTTCATCTTTCCCACGCTGATCATTTTTGTTCCCTTCTGGGTATCTCCAAAGTTATTTCATTTCTGAGCTTTGGCCAAATTGATTGGTTCTTGCTAACTTATGATTCAGCAAGTAAGTAATAAAAATAGATTGAGGATGATAAGATGGGGTTCGAGAACTGGCTCTTCCACTGGTTAACTTTGTGACTGTTGTAGCACTTATCCTCTGTGGGCCTCAGTTTACCATATTAAAAAGAGCGGATTCAACTCGATTCTGTGACTTTTAACTATGAATGCCAGAAGTACAGAGGGTAAGATAGATAGTGTTTGGCAATAAAACGGAATTTTTTTCTGCTAAAATCTGCTGCCTATGACAGCATCTCTGTTGCCATAACAATCCATGGTTGAAAGTGGTGACATTACAACAATGGATCCCATCACTACTGTTGGAGTTTGAGAAGGAGGTTGGGAGGTTCTCTCTCCAAGATGCTTGCATTTCCCAAAACAGGGTTCGCTGAGATTAGAATGCAGCGATTAGTGGGCAGTTTTCTCCATTTCAGCTTCAGCCACATATTGCTATGTCCTAGCTCCCTCAGGCCATTTTCACCATTCGTTCTGTATTTCTCAGCACATCTAATGATTTGTCCCAGTGGGGCTCAGCTTTGTCTCCTTCCTTAACTACGGTGGAGACCCAGAACTCCAGCAGATGATGCTAATCATGAAAATCAGGATCAGAGACGGGGAGACTAAGGAATACTGACTCATCTGTCTATTTTAATGGCTAAAGATTCCTTTACAGCTGCAAACAGACCCTCTCCCCACATGGATTACTGAGCCCATTGTGCCCAAAGCCTGGACCCTACAGACTTGATGCCGTTGGAGTTTTGCCTATTACATAAACCTTAGATTGTTCCTATTCTGGACAATGCGAAGGATGGGTCCATAGAATATTCCTGGTTACTGCTCCCTCGGCGATGGAGCTATTGCTTGATCTCCCTCCTTGTGAATGCCTGGGGTCATAGGTCCTGTGGCCCTCATGTGGCCCTATTATAGAGACTTGCGCTTCCCTCTTTCCCAGTCAAACAGTGCATGAGTTTCCAGATGGGATGGAAGGAGTCTAGGTTTCTCTTCCAGAGAGGATCAGCAGAAACTTAGTATGAGTCTCTCTCACCCCTCCTCTTGGCTCTGCTTGTTACTTGTGAAATGCTCCCAGCTTCCTGCACAGCTGTAGGATCTTACAGCTTGTGGGCACCCATTGGTAAACATTCTGCTGCTGGAGATGGCTGGTGAGGCCAGCTGGGTTGGACTTAAGCCCCTCTGGAGGCTGGTGGTTTGGTCTGGTTTCCCCTTCCTCCTCAAAAAGTTGAAGGCTGGGTTTGGAACATGGCAGAGTTAGGGCCTGATGGTCCCATCCTAGCCTGGTCCTTTCATTGCATGCTGGGTGACGCTCCTACCCCCATCCCTGCCCTCCTCTGTGGGGGAGCTGTGTCCAGAGCTGACTCTCTCATCTCTGAGTCCCTCCTCATTTGGTCATGGATGAGGTGTCTAAACTCCACTCGCTGTCAATCTCTATGTTCAAAGCCACCACCAACTAGTCTAAAATGGAGCACTTTGCTTATGGTTCCTAGGTCATGCCCTTTGTCGTTACTTCAAACCCTCTTTTTACTGTCTTAGCCTAAGAGTTGAGGGTAGGTGTGTTGGGAACGGGTGAGCAAGTCAGACTGAATGGGATCTGAGGCTGTGGAGAATGAATGCCATTCAGTTTAATAAAACTGAGTATATGGAACAGAACCGAAAAGTGACATTCATGAAGAGCTTCCTCTGTTCCAGACCATGTGCCAGGCCCCACAGGGAGACTAAAGTGAAAACAACATGATTCCTGTCCTAAAAGAGCTTAGAGAAACCCCACACCCGCATCCAGACCCAGGGCAGGACTTGCGGATAAGTGCTTACAGTTGGTGGGCGCTACAGTTGTAGAACTTGAACTCGGTGCTGACAAATATCTTCCCCGTCTCCTTGGATCTCAGCTGCAGCTCTAGCCCAAACCAGTCTGGAAACAAGAAGAAAAAAAAGGAGAGGGTGTGACGACCCGGACACCCAGGGGAAAGCCTGACGGTTCTCCACTCCAGCGCTCTCTTGGGGCACAGACGACAGATGGAAACACCCTGAATCCTCTCCTCCCCAGAGAGTCCCTTTTGTTCTGCTGATTGCCAGCCCAGCACCGAGACCCAGACACCCCCATAGCCCCTAGGGAAGAAGTAATGAATCAGATCCCACACAGCCCCTTCCCCTTGTCAGGCATGTTCAGTGATTGAAAGACTTTCAGAAATACTAGGCCAGACCCCTCAAGCCCCCAGTTCTGTGGAGAGGACCCCACTGAAAACCATTGGCTGAAGCCACTGCCATTCCTAGAAGGGAAGAGAAGTCTGGAAAAACTCTTTGCAGCCTTAACCCAAATGGTAGCAAGGGATTTCCTTCCTCCTGAATTTTGCTTTGGGGCGAGATGGTTTGCTTTAAGTTATATAAACCCATATTAGTGTCTGGCATAAGGTGACTTGGTCTGGTAACTTCTGTGCTGGGACTTGCCACCCCCATCTCCTGTGTCCTCTAGTCTTAGCCATCCTGGTAGGGCAGCCCCTAGCATTTGCCTCTCATGGCAGACACTTCTTACCTTGATCCAGAGGGATGATAGGGACATCCTTGGGCCCAGGTGATATGCAGATGACCTGGCTCCCGGACACCTGGCCCTCCACCTCTGTCAGGTTCCCAAAGGCACAGGCGATGCCCGCAGACAGATCGGGAGCATCACTCACAAGCAGGCTGAGCTGTGGGAGGATCAAAGGTTTGATGCTAAAGGAAGAGCCCTCGAGGCTCAGGAGACCTGTGTCTCAGGCCTGGCCCTGCCCTTACCTGCTTGCTCATACATCTTCCCTGACCTCATCTATAAGGAAGGACGTTGATGTAGGTGATCTTCTGGCTTTGACACTGAACCATTACAGTAGTGTTGCCAGGGGTGCGCAGGGTCAATGGTCTTTATTAATATTATTATGAACTTATTTTTCAGTCTTGTTCAGCATCAGAAAGCTCTGGGGGAAAGAGGAGGGGTGCTAGGGGAAATGTACCAAAATCCATCTCAGATCCTGCTCATTTTGACATGAAACCATGCAAACTTGAAAGCAAGTTGTGAGCTGAGCCCTTCACAAATAAGCCTTAGCCTTGGCCCATGGCAGAACAAGTATCACGGCTGCAGGTTTACCAGTTCGCCAGGTTGGTGGAATACAGCTAGCTCTTCACCCTGGCTGTTGTTTAGGGGCTGCTCATCAAGGTGATGGGTTTCCTAGAGTTTCTGCCTCTCCGTCCCTCCCTGGCCCTCTGCTCCTTGACAGCTCCCCTGGAGTAGGGCATTCGCTTCACAGGGCGCCTAAGTGGACACCCATGGCTTGGATGATGTCTGCTGTTACCTATGAGTCCCAGCAATCTAGGCCAGTAGTTTCCAGCCTTTTCAAGTTTGAACACCCTCCTTTGAATGGGAAAAATATCACAGATTGTCAGAAGAATATGTTGATTGAGAAACTATTTAATGGCAAAATGCTGCTCTGAATTCAGTGGAAATGAATTTGTACTCAATTACTACAATACAGCACCTAAGCGGTATTAAAAACTAGAGGTAGGAGATGTGACTGGCTCCCTCTGGCAGTAGGGTGCGCCCAGAAAGGTTGATGGTGACAACACCCCTGTGGCCTCCACATTGGGAGCCATGCTGTAGGTGGGTCTCCCTTTGTCTTCCTACCAACACCTAGTGGTATTTATTGCACTGGCTTTCTCAGTCACAATGGGCATCACCTAGCCTCGCCATACATTTGTTTGCAGCTGAATCTCTGCCCCAGTTTCGTTTCCATGGGGCTGAGAGACTTAGGTACAAACTCCGCTGTTTGTTCCCTCAGCTCCGTGGGAGCCAAAACCTCCCGGTGGGGATGAATGAATGGAAATCTTGGAAGGTTCATTAACTAATTAACATTCGTGAATGCTCATAAAACCTTCAGAATAAAATAATCATGCAGGGCCTGAGGACATGAAATATTTTGGGCTACACCTCGACAGGTGGTTAAAGGCTATTTTATTCTCTTTAATATTCTCTTTAAGCACACATCAACTGTGAATTGTCTCAGTCTCTCTGTCTTTCTCTCTGTCTCTCCGTCTGTCTGCCTCTCTCTCTCACACACACACACAAAGGCAACTCTCAGGTTTCTGTGAGAGCATGTATCAAATGGAGGATTATAAATATAGCATATACCAAAAGACGTGTTATTTGGCATGGGATTGCATTATGTTGCAGATGTTTGTGACTAAATGCAAAACCTAGATTTACAAAACAGGTCAATAGTGAATGAATTTGCAAGGAGTATGGAGAATGACTGTGCCATTTACAGTAGGAGTTACCATAGGTTTTCTACAAATATAAAGTTTCCTTGGAGCATTTAAAGTAGGATCTATCTACAGATAACCTGTGCAAGTGTTAAAGGAACACACTCACACATGTACCACCCCCAGCCCCCCACCATGCCTCTGAGGAGTTACTTACCAGCCGGCTGTGCTCAGACACTGAGATGCTGCTGGGATGCACCTCGAGGCTCATGCACTGGCTGATGCTGGCAGCAAATCGATTAGGTTCCCAGGCCCGTTGGCACTTGTCCCTGCGGGAGCACCTGCCATAAACACAGATTCGCAAGAGGTCAGGCCTCTGAGACCCATCTGTTTGGCTCCATTGTCCCCTTGGGGTAAGTAAGAGGGGTTTGCTGCTTTGAGGCCTGTGGCTTGTTTTCTCATTACGACTTTCACTTATCCCAGAGGGCCTGGGTGACTCTTAGATGGTCTCTACTGCAGTTAAAGACAGACTAAGAGGAAGCGGGATTAACCCCCAATATGAGATGGGAGAGATGTGGTTTAGACATAAAGAATACCTCTTGATAGATAGAGTCTTTATGGGATGCCCAACGATGGAGGGAGGCAAGTTTGGGGAACCCAAAATAACATACAAGAGGCTAAGAACATGAACTTTGGGGCCAGGCTGCCGGGGTTCTAACCATAGATCTATTGCCTGCTAGCTGTGGCCTCTTGCGCAAGTTGCTTAATCTCGCCATGCCTCAGTTTCCCCGACTGTAAAATGGTGAGCATAATGATAATACTCTACCACATAGGGTTGGTGTAAGGATTAAATGAGTTAGTGCTTAGAAAATGGCCTGTTAGCCTTTAAAATAACAATATTAATGATGACGATTATTAACATTATTATTCTCCTCCAGAGAGATTCAAAAATCTGAACAGCGTCTTAGCTGGGTGGAACAGCGTGCCTGTGATTCTGTGGCTGGATTAATGGCTCTTTGAAGGCAGGGACCATGTTTTATTCATTGAGATATTCTACCTGTCACATGGTATATTTTAAATAAATGTTTGTGGTGTGAAATAATGCCTGGAGACAGAGACAGACAAGGAGTCGCAGCCAGGGTTGCCTCTGTCAGAAAGCTTGTGTGGCCGTTTCTCCTGACAGCTTCATCTCTGGCTCTAGGCTCCTCTGCCCATGGTGGCAGCTGGGCATGGTGACACCTGCATGCGGGAGCGTCTGGTTGCCACCTATGTCACACAGGAACACGCTCCAGGGCCGGTGCTTCTCCAAACCAAATAGCCACCCGACACAACAAGATTGCACAGTCAGGCAGTGATTCCCATCGGGACTCCCCTCAGGCCCCGCCCCCTCTTCCTTTCCAGGCACATAATGGATCTAAATATGAATGCTGTCAAAGGAAAGAATTATTGAGGTTTAAGTGAATCCTTAAGATAGCTCTAAAGTGAGCTCTTGACTGGAGCCTTTATCTCATTGACTCACTGAAATGGCTCTTTTTTATCATACTATTTATGGCAACAGCCCTAACAGAGATAAATAGCCTTGGAGACAATAACACACTTGCAAGAGCAAGGCATACAGAAGAGACAGGAAGGTTTCAAATCCCCCCAGACCCACAGGCTCTTTAGCAATCTCCCTCAGCCCTCTGCTTCCATTAAAGTCCAGCATGTGGGCCCAGGAGCCGGAGGTGAGCCCATCAATTCAGTCCCCTTACCAAGGGGAGCTGGTGGTGGCAGGTGGGCAGGCATTGTGGGAGGGGCTGGTGAAGAAGAGAATGGCCAGAAGAGGAGAAACCTCCGGGTAGAGATAGGAGAAAGCTTGTTCCTCAGGCATTCTTGGCAGGCAGAGTAGCTAGAAGGAGAGGTGTGCCCTGGTAGGTAGGAGGGATTCTCTGACGATAGGGGAGGAGTTCAGAGGACACAGGACATCTGAGACTATCCTGGTGTGGCTCTGTCATTCTAGGAGCCACAGCTGACCCAGACCAGGAGGACGACAGGAGTGGTCTAGGGCCACCAGGAGACCCGGGGCATTGTGGGTAGATTTGTAGGCACTCACTGGTACAAATTGGGGAATGCGATGTCCTTGCTGTTGAATAAATGATAATCCTCATCTATAATTTTGGTGTGTTCTACATGTGAGAAGTGCCCCTGGCACAGAAGCTGGGAGGCCAGGGTAGGAAGGCGCAGGGGAGGGGGTGGGTGGACATGCCCTCTGCACAGTGAGAGGCAGGTAGCCCAGGACACTGTGCACGGAGCTGGGGGTGGCTGTCAGGTTCTTTGGAGGAAGAAATCCTCTTGAGGAGAGAGCCTGCTGGCTGGCACGTCAGCCTCACTGAAGGGAACCCATTTTTAGGCACCTTTGCCATTCCTGGGGCACCACAGGGGTGGCATCAGCATCTTTACTACTTGTCAGACCTGAATGGTGACTCATGGACGGGGTTTCCGGTTAGAGCATTTTTTTGCAAAACTTTTTGAGGAGTCTCTTACCTCTACACCCAAGCAGAGAACCCAGCATTTGTGGCTCAAATCCAGTCCGGATTTTGCATCTGTGAGGGGCCTGCTTCCCTCCCTCCCTCCATCGCCCTCCCAACACCTGCTGCAGAGGCTGGAAGCCAAGAGCTATTGTGCGGGGACCCTGAACTCTGGCCCTCCGCCTCCGCCTCCACCCCAAACCCGGCACATTTCATGGAGATGCTTTGCTGGCTGGCACGGAGCCATGGAGTTTCCAACTCCATTGGGGAACAGAACTCCTAGCCAGCACCCGCCTTTCGAGTTTTCACCCTTTTCTCTCCCTCTGGGACTCTTCGAATTAGGAAATTTAAGTGTAATTTTGCATTTCTATTGAGCTGGTATTCAATGGCTGGGATGTATCTGAAAAAGGATGTGAGGCCAGTTGGAGTGAGATGCGGACTTCTTGGAAGCATGAATTAATGAGGCCAGAAGGGTCCTCCCAAGGGTTCAGAGTCCATAATAATTATTTTGATTTGTGTAGCCTATTCTGGGCTTCCTTATTGCCAAAGCATTTATTATTTCATTTAATCTTCACAGTTCACCTGCGAGGGAGGCATGATCTCTATTTGGCAATAGGGAAATGGAGGCCCAGAGTCGTTAGTGGACCACCCAGGGTCACACAGCAGCTAACTGGAGCCCCATCCTCCCAACTCTAGTGCACTGCCATCTGCATGCTCGTGGCAGGGTGCACTGAGGAGGTTCCCGGGGAACCTAGAGACTACAGCTTTCTGGTGAGTTCTTCTAACACCGCTACCCTTCCCAGGACTGACAAGGTACAGCCTTCAGAGCAGCTGGGAGGGCAGAATTTGGAAGTGAAATGAGACAGGAGTAAAGGCCCCGCACTTGGAAAGCAGGCCCAGCCATGCCTCTTCCCCTTCCTGCCCTCAGCACTCCCACCTTGATTAGAATTACCGCTCAGAAGAGGGAAATTCCTCTCTCCCTGCAAATCGATGTCATGTCCCTCATCAACACTGCCAGGAAAGTACCTTGTCTTCTGCAGTCCAGGCCCTTTTCCAGAACGTCCCAAACTTACATGTTGTGCAGGGCACACCAGCCACAGTGAGGGTCCCCCGAGCTCAGGCACTCCCCGCAAGTCGTATACTGTTCACACGATTCCACGGGGACCCTGGTGATCTGGTGGAGGGAAGAAAGAGAGCAAGGTTAGACCAGGTAGGGGTGCCTTGCAGATGTGTCTTTGGACTCATCTACATCCACCTACACTTGCACTGTTACTGCCCCTAAAGAGGTGACACTGGGGGTAAAGCGGTGGCCTCAATACTCTCCTCTGTTTGCTTGGCACATGGCAGGGACAACTAAGCAGAATGTGTTTCTGAGGTGCCAGGCCCAAGGCTTCCTGCCTTCAGCAGAGGCGGAAGCAAATCCTCCAGTCTCTCTGCCTGCACCAAAGTCCCCGAGTGCTGGGCATGCTCAGGACAAGGGCTGAAAAATCATTAACACCGTTGAAAGGCTATGGAGTGCCACCGACTCATCTCTGAAGAGCTTTCAGCTGGGCTTGGGCTGAGACAGGCTGCCTGCACAGAAAACATTTAAAAAGGGAGAGAAGGAGAAACTTTTCCTATCAAGTAATATTCATCGTATGCCACAGTCTCTTTACGGCCAACCAAACATACCACCTGGATCCAATTACCCCATTCTCTGATGGCTGCATTCAGTTTCTCTAGTAAATCTCCCATCCTTTGAAAAGTCCGGCTAAATGGGAACATCCACAGGGATGAGCTGTCTGTCTGATTACGTCTTGCTGGGGAAAGAGGGAATTTGCAGATCAAGCCCCTGCCCCCCCAGGGAATACAGTCCCTGCAAATTCCTCCTGGCTTCCTGGTGGGGCCCTGCGGGGACTTGAGCCTGGCCTGTCTGGACATTACGCACCTCTTTCTGCCCAGCATGTGTGATATTAAGGCCAGGCAAGGGGGTCGAAAGATTGAAGTCTTTCATTTGATATGTCCTAGGTATCTGTGGCTGGCTGGGGCAGGAGGCTGCTGGGCTGCAAAAACATTTGCTGGGCTGGGATTGGGTTCTCATTTGCTAGGGCGTAGAGGTCCCCCACCTACTGTATGTGTGAACTCAAGTGAAAACACAACCTGTGGCCCAGCAGCACAGTGTTCTGCCTTTGGCAGGGGGACAAAGGACCTGATGGAGACGCCTTCACGGCATCCTCCTGAGAGGCTCGGGATGGAGTCTAACACTGCTCATCCAGCAAATGCTTATCAGATGTCACTAGGCGGAGGCTCGGGTGCTACATGATAGAGAAACAGCAGCAAACAAGACACAGATCCTGCCCCTGCAGAGCACACAGTCCAGTGGGAGTTGGTAATTACAAACCGAGAGCTGCTTCACGTTGTGCACAATGCTCCACACTGTGCTGATGGGATGGGTATGTGCCTGGGGGGCCTTGGGAGCTTAGAGGAAGGATGCCCAATACAACCAGCCTGGAGGAAGGGGTGAGCAGAGTAAGGGTGGGTCAGGGTAAGAGTGGACCTGATGCAGAGACCCGGAAGGGCATTCCAAGCTGAGAGATTACCATGAGCAAAAGTAAGTACGGATAATGGGGCTGGCCCCGTGGCCGAGTGGTTAAGTTCGCGCGCTCCGCTGCAGGCGGCCCAGTGTTTCGTTGGTTCGAATCCTGGGCGCGGACATGGCACTGCTCATCAAACCACGCTGAGGCAGCGTCCCACATGCCACAACTAGAAGGACCCACAACGAAGAATATACAACTATGTACTGGGGGGCTTTGGGGAGAAAAAGGAAAAAAAAAAAAATCTTTAAAAAAAAAAAAAGTAAGTACGGATAAGTTCAGTATGACTCAAGTGTAGGGTGTACACTGGGTGAGGTGAGGTGGGATATAAGCAAGGGCCAGATGATGAAAGGTCTGCGTACCAGCCAGGAGCCTTCCTTTTCTCTATTGGGTGCCCCTTCCCCATTCTTAGCACCTCATAACTCTTAACATTCCCTAGTAGAAGGCTTTTCTGTAGGTAAGTGACATGATGAGCTTGAAGCATCCCTAACTTCCCTTTAATCATAAAAATATGAAATGCAGGAAGGATAAGTGTAAAATCTTGCAATGTGTAATAGAGCCAAGGGTTTGAGTGGACTCTATGTCTGATGTGACCTGACAGAGTGAGGTAATAGCTAAAGGGCTGCACAAATAGACATAACGTCAGGATGGAGAGAGGCTACCCACACTGGGGAGTTCCCAGCTCAGGTCTCTGCAACCTGCCCCGAGAGGGGTGTTCAACCAGAGATTCTCTCCAGAAGGGTGGTCACAATGGGGTGGGACCAAGATGTGGCATCTGAGGTACAGCTGATGGACTTGGGATGTTTATGTAGCTCAAAGAAGACGAATCTGGAGGTAGCCACGGAGGTTGTTTTCCAATGTTCGAAGGTCAGCAGCGTGGCTGCAATAAGACTCATGGGTGGAAAGTTTCAGGGAAGCTCAACAGAAATAAGTCAAGGTTGTCCAATAATGCAACAGACCTCGCTTCCGGACGGAACCCCCATCAGCGGGATGCATAAGCAGAGTCAGAGTGACATGTGTCTGGGAGGCTCTGGCAGGTATTTCTGCCCTCAGAAGAAGCCTGCATTTGTCCTTCTAGTTCTGACCTTCAGGATTCTATTTCCCACAGTTTACCTAACTCCTCCCTGAGCCTGTGTATGATTGCTGTCCTGAACAACTAGTACAGTTGAAAGATAACATCCAGCCATCACCACCAGCCATTGCTATCACATCGCCTTAGGAACAACTCCTGACCCCTGACTCATGGCCTGTGGGCACCTTTCTGACAGGTGCCTGCCAGACACTCACCTAGTGTGCCTCTCCTGGGCCTGGGCCTCTCAGCCCTTCAGGATATCTGTGACCCCGGCCAACGGGTTGGCTTCCGCTGGCCCCCTCCAACCCACCCTCCGAGGCCGGAGAGCAGCGGCCCAGTGCCCGGCCTCCCTTTCTTGGGTTTCGGGCTCCCTGTGAGTGATGTCTGCATCTGGCTGGAAATTAAAACAACTGTCTGCATTGCATTCGGCCCGTCTGTCAAAACACAGCCCGGCTCTCAGCAGCTGGGAAAGGGGGCCCTGAATGGGAGCAGTGTCTCCAGCAACAAAGCCCACTTTCACGCCAAGTGCCACGGAGATAGTGAGAACCCTGTTCTTCTCCAAACATGAAACCAATAGCACAACTATTTTTCCTGTTTCCTGGGCCCTCCTGGTGGGAATTTTTTTTTTTTTTTTTAACGCACAGAGTTGAAGAGCAAAGTGAAACAGGAAACTTATGGGGGGGGGGTGGTCTAAAACTTGAATTATTCTCTCTTCAAAAATCGAATAGCCATATACAAACCAGAGGAAAGAAATGTCACAGGGACTGGGAGCAGACCTTCAAGGTCAGCTGCTTCCATGGGCCCTCTGTCTTTCCTATATTCATTCATCAACCAATATTCATTGATCACATCCCACACACAGGCCAGCGTTAGGCACTTCAGGAGAATAAAAACAACAGTGGCATTAGAACAGCCATCACCTTCAAGTTGGAAACAGACCGACAATAAAAACAAGAAAGTGACGTGTGCTCTAAGAGAGGTATTGAAAGAGGGCCGAGGGAATTCAGAGCAACCAGAAAATACTTTTATGTCTGCACTGTTCAGGGTGATCGCCACCAGCCCTTGTGGCCATGAGCATTTGCAATGTGGCTAGTCCCAACTGAGATGTGCTGTAAGGACACAGTACACACTGGATTTTGAAGATTTAGGATGGAGAAAAAGAATGTAAAATATCACAGTAATAATTCTTTATTGATACGTTGAAAAGATAAAAATCTAGCAAATATTAGGTTAAGTAAAATCTCTTATTAATTTCAATGTTTTCTTCTTACTTTTTACAATATGGCTGCTAGAAAAGGTAGAATTACTCATGTAGCCCGCATTTGCGGCTCACGTTTTCTTTCTATGAGAGAGCCCTGCTCTAGATGGGAGCAAGAAGAAGGCTTTGTGAGAGATATGGCATGTGTCTCGGTCTTCAAGGGTGAATAATATTTACACAGATGAAGAGCATTCCGGGTGGAAAGAACCACATGAGCAAACAGAAGAAAGCAGAGTTTCTTTAGAAAACTTTGCATGAAGGCAAGGGAGTGATGGCTATAAATCTAGAAAGGCAGGTTTGGCTTAACTTGTGAAGGATCAAGACCATAGAGCTGGAATATGTGAAATCTCTAAGCTCTCCAGGCTGTCACTCTTTGGCCAAAAGAATGTCCTCCATAAACAGTGGCCCTGTGGTTCTCAAGGAGCAATGGCTCTCAAAGCATGGTCCTCAAACCAGCACCCTTGGCAGTACCAGTGAGCTTATGAGACATGAAAATCCAGAGTCCACTGAGTCAGAAACTCTGGGATGGGGCCCTGGAAATGGTTCTACCAAGCTCTCCAGCTGATTCTGAGGCGCATTTGAGAACCAGTGATACAGACGACCTCCTTGGGAAGTCTTTTTAAAAGTCAGGTCCTAGGACCAGGAAGAAATGGAATAAAATTTCTGCCTTGGGGCTATGGAAGGAACTAGACTGACTTTGGGGGAGGAGAGTAGGGGGACATACTTTGGGGACTGCTTTATGCCCAGGAGAAATTGGTTCTAATAATTCTGAGTCTATGAAGGCATGAAAGGACCACATTCAAGTCTCCAGAGTCAGGGGCCATATGACTCTGCACCCCAGGTGACAGGCGGGCCCTTGCTCTAGGACCTGGTGGGGTGGAGTGGGATGGGGTGGGGATGAGAGCTGTCTCGGGAAGCTGGAGAAGGAAAAAGAGCTTTCTCCTGGAGAGTGTCCACCGCGTCAGGCAGCACTCTGTCAGGGCTGACTCAGAGTTTAATGGGACACTCCATGGCGCTTTAATTAGAGTTGTTTATTACGATTGCATTTTAATTATGCCTGAGGCTCTCCCACCCCCTCCACTCTGAGTGCTGGGATCTGAGGGTGGCTGGGTTGGCAAACGAGTGTGGTGATGAGAAGTCAACAGTCGCGGATGCCCTGCTCCTGCCTCCCTCCACCGCCTTCTCCCTAGGACCATGGAGCTGCTACGGACTAGATTCCACCCTCATGCTCTGCATTCTTTTCTGCTTGGTCTTATGTCTTGTAATTATGC